GTGAGCATGTATATAAACATTTACAAATAGATGATCTTGGTAAGTACTAAAGTACTATTAATTTCTACTGGTGTAAAATGTTAAAGGCTTAAAGCTGAAACTTGAGAAAAAAAGTAAATTTACAAAAATTTACTAATATGTGGAAGTTTTTTTCAAAACACTGACATAACTCTCTTCATTGTCACAATCATGAACGCGGAGAGTTATTAAAAAAATGATAACTCTCTAACATCTCTCTAACATCTTCATAATGTTAACAAGAGAGAGTTACGTCAAACAAACTCTCTCATATTAGTTCAAGGAAACGTCGAGAGTGTTAAGAAATTGGGTGTGGTCGTTGGGAAAAGTGGGCGTGGTTGGAACATAACTCTCCGAAACCATAACTCTCCAAGATAACTCTCCACTTCATAACTCTCCGTTTAGCCGGTCCCGAGTGAACTGATGCACATATAGAATGTGGATTAGATGTGGGATTTGCAAGTGTTTCTTAGCAACCCATTCGATAGTTGTGCTAAACATCTCGAAAGTGCGACAAGATGACGCACAGCCAAAGGGCATAACGCGATCATAGTAATACTTCCCTTGCCAAAACATTCCTACAAGAACATAATCGGATGGCCTTATCGGGATAATACGAAATGCGCTCTTGATATCCGTTTTTGCGAGGAAACAGCCGCGGCCTAATTGTTTGATCATTTTGACGGCATCATCAACACGAGCATAATGTACAGTCGAATGCTCGTGAGCAATGCCGTCATTAACAGATTCACCACTTGGAAAAGACAAATGGTGGATTAAGCGATATTCTCCAGGGGCTTTTTTAGGTACCAGCCCCAAGGGGGAAACGCGAAAATTAGGAAAGGGGGGACTGTTGAAAGGCCCAGCGAAAGTCTAGCACTAACTATCTCAGGGTTCCGTTGCGCGGAAACGAGATTAGGACCAAAAATTGATGTACGAGATCCTTCAAAATGAAGGGGAAAACCAAACTTAAAACCATTATATAAATTTAACGCCAATCGCACATCGTATCCACATATAAATAACGGGTAGAGATTGTCCATTAGAACCGGTGTTGGCAGTACGAGACTTGGCGGCACTTGGGGCTGAGCCAGAGGAGGGCTTTTGGCCACGAAAATTACAACAAATAGCCGGGTGAACAACACCACGTACATTTAAAGCAGTTGTGTTTGTAGCTACACCCTAAACATTCAGTACCCCGGTGGAACTTGCGGCAAAACCCTAGGAACAAATGGTCCAGCGACCGACAAGGACGAATTGTTTGAACTCGTGTGCACATTTGATTCGGGTTTGCTCAAACGCGCATGATCGAAAGTTTGTGCACGGATCCAAAGTTCCCAGTGAGTATAACCCCCATGCTAGTTGAACCGGATTGCTTTGCCGCAAGAGACGAAATTGCGTGTCATACAAACGCCAATCAGCCCCTCGTGTGGCCAAATCCCGCACTACCTCCCCATATTTCATTAGTATTGGGGCCTCCAAGGGAAATATTGCAGTGTAGACTCCAACGAAAACTTGAAAAGCCGAAGTCCATGCCTCGATATTGAGAATGGCCTTCGGCTTGTGTGACGGTTCTAAAGATAAAGCAGGGAGCGAGGAACCGGCTTGAGAGCTCACAGACAAGTTATACCGGGTATCACCTGCCCCTGAGCTCAGTAAAACACCAAAATCTATAAATTCGTGCGCCCATATTTTTGCTTTAACTTTAGCGCTAACATTAGCATCGATGGGCACGCTAATTGAGCAAAATTTGGCGGATCCCGACCCCGCTGACGGTAAGACGTTAATAAATTCGGTCTCACCTGTTATGTGATGCAAAGCAGATGCAACCTGCCCATGCATAGTGGTAGCATCTGCTAAATTAAGAGTATTATCAGACCCTACAACTAGAGGTACTTCTCTCTGTTCTGGTTCCATGGACGGAGGCGCTGGGAGAGTTGGTGACTTGCCCCAAACGACGCGATGACGGCCTGTGTCACAGCCGAGACAATTCTCTGCATCACTTCCTCCGAGAGATCAGGCGGTGTGATGTTCGGCGACGCTGATGGTGTAGCAGCCATGGCAGGCGACTTGTTTCGACCCTGGCTGCACTGGTTGCAGTTGTGATGCTGCTGTTGCCCGACGCCGCCGCGAAAAGGCACTAGGTGCTGCTGCTACTTGAGCTCGGTGCTGGACACGTGTACTTGGGAGAGTTGCGGGCATTCTAAAAGGAAAATGTCAAAACGCAGACAGGCAGAATTGGGTTTGGCCAGAGTTTGCTGGTTGCGTCTGGTGAAGCGATTCGTGATATAGTTGTATATTTGTATAGCTATAAATGTATACGCAGTAACACGCAAACGTGAACAAACAACGCAGCGAAATAATCATGGCATGCAGCGAAGGTAGCCGCAAAAGATCATCCTTAAGAATTGCTGCAATATCTACCACATTAAACATTGACAAACAAACAACGCAGCGGAATGAGTAGTATGTTGAATATTGTTATCGTTCAGAAATTTCTGAAACTCCTCACTGGTAAATTGGCTACCATTATCTGAAACAATGAGTTGAGGTAGTCCAAAATTGCTGAAAATATGTCGTAAAGCTGTTATGGTCGTAGTTGAAGTAGCATTAGACATTGGGACAATCTCAAGATACTTGGAATAGGCGTCGACAACGACTAAGAACATTTTCCCTAGATATGGACCTGCGTAATCTATATGAATACGCTTCCAAGGGCCTCCAGGCCAAGACCATGATCCTTGTTGAGATGCATTTGGTGATTTGGCTTCTTCCTGACATGCCCTACAAGACTTAACTGTTTCTTCGATTTCTTTGTCAAGTTTAGGCCACCATAGGTATTTACGCGCCAATTGTTTCATCTTCACTATTCCGAAATGTTCGGCATGTAAATCCTTCAGTAGAATATCGCGTAATGATTCTGGAATTACAACTCGAGTGTCCAACAACAAAATTCCATCTTCATGTGATAATTCTAATCGCCTAGTATGATAAGGTTGTAATTCAGGTTGTGGTTTTTCTGGCCACCCATTCTTCGTAAAATCTAGTACTTTACTTAAGACTGGATCTTTCTTAGTTTCCATGGCAACCATTGTGGAATTAACAATTTGTTCTCCTTCAATAAACATGACTCTAACCTCTACCTGTTCCTCCGGAGTTGGTTGTATGTTAATAGGTTTCCTTGAAAGAAAGTCTGCATAGACATTTTCTTTTCCAGAAATAAAACTCAATCGTGTAGTTGTACATGTATGCTGCCAGAAGAAGGGACCATCTCTTAATCCGTGCCGACGCTAACTGTGGAACTGACTTATGTTCCCCCAGTAAGGTTATCGACCGTTTATGATCTGTTAGGAGTTTAAAATGTCTGCCAAGTAAATACTGACGGAATTTTGTAACTCCAAATACAATTGCTAACGATTCACGTTCAATTTGAGCGTAATTTTTCTCAGCTGCATTAAGAGTTCTAAAAGCGTATGCTACTGGTTGTAATGCGCCATCATGACCAGACTGGAGCAGTACAGCTCCAACTCCTATAGAAGATGCATCACACTGGAATACCAACTCAGCAGCTGGGTCGTAATGTCTTAATATAGAATCCGAACACAATGCCGACTTGATAGTAGTAACTGCTTCCTGTTTAGTTTTACTCCATTTCCATGGAGTTCCTTTCCGAAGTAATTTGTACAAAGGTGTCATAATTTCTGCGAACCCTCGCACAAACTTACGCAGGAAATTTGCTGTACCAATAAAAGATTGCAACTCAGAAACGTTTGCCGGAGGGGCGGCATCTTTGATGGCTTGCACTTTCTCCTCTGTTGGTGAAATGCCGGCTTCCGAGATTCACATTCCCAAATAAATAACTTCCCCGAGCATGAAATGGAATTTCTCACGCTTGAGTTTAAGCCCGCTATCTAGTAATCTTTGCAGAACACGATGCAAATTCTCCATATGAATCTCATCAGTTTTTCCTGTTACCAAAATATCATCAATCCGAACGCAGCATCCTGGAAGACCTTTGAGTACATTTTCTATGGTACGTTGGAAGATGGACACCGCACTGTTTACCCCCAAAACTAATCGTTTGTACTGGTATAACCCATGATGCGTATTTATTGTTGTGTACTTCCTACTTTCAGGGGTGAGTTCTAATTGATGGTATGCCTGTGAAAGATCAAGTTTCGTAAATTTCGTTCCCCCTGAAAGGTTGCTTAGTAACTCTTCAAATGTAGGTACTGGATATTGTTCTAATGTAGCTGCCTGGTTAATTGTACCAGAATAATCTCCACAGATCCTTACATTGCCATCAGGCTTAATCACAGGAACCGTCGGTGAAGCCCACTCCGAGTGCTCTACTTTTTCAATAATATCACCCTGGACTAGTTTCTCTAATGCTTCTTCATATTTTTTCCGAATTGCAAAAGGTACCACTCTGGGTTTCATAAACACAGGGTTATCATCATTTACTCTTAATGACACTTGTACCCCCTTCAGTTTTCCTACTCCTCTTTCATCGAACAGTTCAGGATATTGTTGTATAATATCCTCTGCAGTGGTAGGAACAATACTGAAAATGTTGTGCCACGGTAGTCTAAATTTAGTCATAATATCACGTCCTAGTAGTGATGGTCCTTCAACCACTCGAATTTTTATGTCACTTACTTGTTCTCCCACTTTGACTTTCATGTTGTCTTCTCCATAGCACTTGATTTCATTTCCCGTATAACTTTTAAGTACCACTGTAGCAAGTTTCAAAACATTTGTGTCCCCACCCATTCTTTCAAAATCACTAGAATTTAATGTTACTGAACTTCCAGTGTCAATTTCCATGGATACTTCTTGACCATTAATATTCACTCCCAATTTGTATTGTGGCGAGATTTCTGATTTCTGTCCCACCGAATTTATATTCTGCATAAAAATAGTTACTGGTGTACCGTTAACAGAATTCATCACTGTCACTGTCACTAGATTCATCAGTATGTGTTGCTACAATGTTATGTGCCTTGGCATTGCTATCTGCCTTCTTTTTCTTGAAACATACTTTTGCCAAGTGTCCCGCCTTTTTACAATAGTTACATGTTGTATAGGTATGGCTGCACTTGTCTGCCAAATGTTGTGTAGATCCACATCTGAAACAAGTTTTCCCTTGCTCAAAAGGTTTTGCCTTGTTTGCATCCCCGCCTTTGAAATGATATTTCTTCTTGTTTGATATACTGTGGGCTTGTGTGGTTTCCGTTCTTTCCGCACTGAGAAGCAATTCTTTCGATTCTTCTCTCTGCTAGTTCATCTGCTTGGGCAACCTTTACTGCTTGATCAAATGTCCTGTCTTCAGAAAGAAGTTTCTTTCTAGTACTTCTACTTCGAACGCCCCCAACAAATTGATCTCGTAATGCCCTTGTAAGATAGGTGCCAAAATTACAATGAACAGCTAAATGTTTCAGTTTGTTTGCATATTGAGCTACACTTTCGCTTTCCGTTGGAACTGCTTGATGAAATCGGTATGTCTCTGCGACTTCGAGTACTTTCGGTTTGTAAAATCCTTTGAGTATTGTAATAATTTCTTCGTACGACTTTTCAGCTGGTAAATCAGGGAGGCAGGGATCTTTCAATGTACTGTATGTGCTTTTTCCCATCACCGAAATAGTTACGGCGACTTTCCTTTTGCTGCAGCTTGTTTTGCAGCTTCATTTGCATCTGCTGCGACTTGGCCAATGTTATTTGCAATAAAATATGCATTCAGTCTCTCACTGTAATATATAAAATCCCCGCCATCGAAAGGTTCCAGAACGCCGAAGCACGTATTATTTTGCTGTGCCATGTAATTTTAATCCTCGTCGCCAATTTGTAATGTATTTCTCGTGTAGCCGAGTAAGGATTGAATGCCCAAAATAACCTTTCATCTCCAAATATGTGTAATAACGACTATTTCTAAAAAGAACTCCTCGCTCCCCCAACTCTCTATCGAGACTCCCCTGCGCATGCGTCTATATCCAGTACTTCATATAATCAATATATAACAATTTGCAAGAAATTTATCAATCATCAAATCAAGAAATGTTTGCTATAATTTCGCTGTCGTCATGCAGTTGTTATAATACAAACTTTAAATTGGACCAATCAGTGTCCGCTATTCATGACAGTCCGCCAAATTTTTGAGATCAGTGAGGATGACCACCCACCGAAACCACAGAGCTATAAATATATGGAGAGCACAACTATAGATACAGAAATTGAAGCCGGAAGTTGCGCGCGGCCGCCATCTTACTGTGACCACCTTGAGGAGTGAGCTATTGTGATTAATACGGTATTTTCAACTGTTTTGTTCTGTTCTTTCGCAATAGAGGAACAAATCAAGTCAAATATGTTATTTTAAGCAAAAACACATGTTCAAGAATGTTGGGGACCTCTTTTACATTCAAATGAACTCAATCGTAAATAAACGTGTCTGTATTTTTGACGACGTTTCTGAGTGCGACTGAGATGAATCATGAATACAGTCGTGACAACACCTTTCAATGGGCATTTCTGATAGAGATCGGTGAATTATACCATTAGTTAACACATGAGAAATGAGGAAATTGGTCATGAACTTTATTGTTTTGGAAATGGTGAATTTTAATATGGACAAGATCATAATATACTCATATCACCGCAAACAAATTATGCCGCTTGTGGGATTTGACACGATTTATTAAAGGAACAAATGATTCAGGATGGTAGAAAAAATAGCAGGTGCGCTGTAGTGACCTTATTTATGTTAATGGTGGGTACTTAAACGCAATGCCTTGTGAGAATATATACCATCCCTGCTTGTGTAATATGTTCCTTATTAAAGTCATAGTCATGATTAATTATCACTCTTCTGAGAAGACCTCAATCGTGTTTTAGAGACAGTATAAAGTGAAGATGGAACAATGCTGCAAACAGTTACTTTATATTTTTCAACTATCCAACAATCCTGTACATATGATTGTTATTTGTTATAAAGACAGACTCATATTTGTTATAAAGACAGCTTCATAGTTAAGACTCGACTCGATATGTCAGCGAATTTAAGACTATCCTGGGCTGGCGACTTTGATCGTTTGAAGGAGTTTGTAAAGAGTGACCTAGAGTTGCAGGGAAGCTGGTCATCCCTGGCGAACGAGAAAAAACTTTTCGTGTCAGACAACGTTGAGTTGCTTTGGTGGAAAAACAAAAAGTTCCTAAAGATCAATGGAGAGGATGCAAATCGAATCAAACGTTGTATGATCAACGCTATGTTTACGAGTTTAAACCTCGATAGTATCAAGTCTGGTGTGGACATGGCTACTAACACCGAGAACTCCTTAAACGAAAACCAACCAACAAAACACCAGTGTACGGGTTGTGAATGTTCGAAGCTATCACCAGACTTGGAGGGTTTGAAATTAGACTTGGTTGTTTTGGAATCGAAACTCAACCATAAAATCCAAGCCGTGGAAAACCAAATATTACGCATGAACGATTGCCGACCAAAAGAGTCGAAAAATCATGCAAATCTCGAAAATATGTTGACAACCTCTACACCCATTAGCAGCGGCGGCACGAACAAAACAAAAGAGGTTAGTAATTCAAATCCTCACATTAATCCCGTTGTTGTTCGGACCGCTAACGATGCATGCTTCACACCAATAAAAGTACCGGATAACACAGAAACTTTTATGGCCATAGATCAGTCATGCGAGAAAACGTCACACCATGATTTGGTGCCATTGCCAAAATCCATCAATCACTCACAAGAGGAATTAACCCTGACAAAGGTAGTTTTCCCTGTTAGGAACAATAGTGAACAGTCGAAAATAGGCGAGCTTTCCCATACGGGAAGCCGTACAAATCCTATTCAAAAAGAACAAAGCTGTCATTATA